TAGCATGTTTAGTCTCCAAATGAGGAGCTAAACTTCCATTTCTTGGTATTGCTCTTGAAGCTTGTTGATTATTAAAGTTGTGAGTTATTTTCTTAACTTCTTTTCCTTGAATATTAATTCTTCCTTTAAATACTATTTCTATATCAATGTTGGGGAGTGTTACTAAGATGACAATTAGTTAGCATCTTGACATTGGTTTTAGTAATAGCTATTCCTTCCTCTATGTTAATATCGGGGAGTGTTACTAAGATGACAATTAGTTAACATCTTGATATTTAACTATAGTAGGATTCATTCCCTTTTAATATTCTTCCTTGAGTATTAATTAATTCCTATTCATATTTCATATTAATATTTTGAACATTACTTAAAGGATCAACTAGTTTTGTTTCAAATATTAATTACTACTAGAAATGATCAACGAACCGATGGTTAATCGTTGATAGTTTCACAAGTAAGTAACTTCGGTTTATTAATGCACGGTTGTGGTTAATAGACCTAAGAGGAATTAATTGTGTTGGTTAAACCAAAACCGCTTGTGTTGAGGTTATCGATCTCAATTGATTTCATCAAGGAGTTAAGCGATTAAATGCTACTATCAAGTCGGTATACGGCGCTTGTTCTATACTTGACTAATAGTAAGGGTTATTAATGAACGGTCGTTGTTAATAACTATCCTCGATGAATTGGATATACTCCTCGATTGAGTATTCGAGAGGAGATAAGTTATAGATATAACAATGATCGACTAAAATATATCAACAAGTGGAAAGTAGCAATACCAAGTCAATTTTATCTTTGAATTAAATCTCATATAAATCGTTCATCTTCGTGTTTAAATTTAATTAAATCACTCAACAATCAAAACCCCCCTTTACTTACTATTTATATAAAAAGAAAGTTATTCCTTTCCCTGTGGATACGAACTCTACTTCACCTATACTACGTATAAGTGCTAGTGTTGAATTTATTTTGAGTGCACTCACGACAAAGTGCACGTCAAATTTGGCGCCGTTGCCGGGGAAGGGCAATTAATTTTTCTTTTTATTTTATTTTAAAGAAAAAGAAAAAAAAAATATAGTTGAAGTATAAAGATTTCCATTTCTTCTGAGCTTTGTTTGAGTATATGGTAAGGACCCGATCTATAAACGAGATCATCTACCAAACAAACCCCCAAACGGAACAAGCTTTCGAAAGGTTTAGGAATTTATTTCCGAATACTTCTTCGGAGGAATCATCAAGCGCTAGCTCTCATTCTAGCGAGACCGAAGAGCCGATCACTATGGCTCTTGAAACGAGAACATTGAGGGAGCTCACAGCTCCGAATCTAAACCAACAACCCCTATGTATCACTTTTCCAACTCTTGATACGGGGGTCACATTTGAGCTAAAATCTGGGCTCATTCATCTACTCCCATCCTTCCATGGCTTACGAGGGGAGGATCCGAACAAACACTTGTCGGAGTTCCACATTGTGTGCACAAGCATGTGCCCCAACAACTCCTTAAACCCTCCCTATAATTAGCCCAAACATTCGGACTGAAGAAAATTTTGGATTTATTTAAATTAATTACCTGACCAGAAGCAAGAGCATACTCACCCAGAATTTCCTTCACGCAAGACGCCTCACTATGGTTGGCTTTGAAAAAAAGCAAACTGTCATCAGCAAATAAAAGATGGGTAATTCTAGGAGCACCCCGAGCAACAGTAACTCCATGAACACGGTCAACCTCTTCATACTTCTTCAAAAGAACACTCAAAGCCTTCTACAATTAAAAAAAAATAAATAAGGAGATAAAGGGTCGCCCTACATCAAGGGATGGAATAATAGGCCCAATTTCAGAATCATCAAACGGAATAGAATAAGAGACCGATGAAGCACATTCCATCACCAACCGAATCCACTGAGATCCTCAAAGCCCAAATGATGTAGCATTCCTTTCAGAAAAGGCCATTCCACCATGTCATACGCCTTACTCATGTCCAGTTTTAAACTAACATACCCTTCCTTCCCTTGATTCTTTCTTTCAAAAAATGTTGGGATTCAAAGGCTAACATGATATTATCAATTATTGATCTGCCCGGAATGAACGCACTATGTTGTTACGATATACATAAATGCAAGACCTTTTTCAATCTATTAGCCAGGACTTTCGAAAAAATCTTATAAATGACATTGCAAAGAGCTATAGGCCTCCAATCACCAATAACCTCTGGACTTTCCTTTTTAGGAATTAAAACAAGATTTGTATGATTAATCTTCTCCGAAAGTTTACCTGAAGAGAAGGCGTCGCGGCAAAACTGGACTACTCCAGGCCCCACCACATCCCAATAATGATGATAAAAGCCTAGACTCAACCCGCCCGGACCCGGTGATTTATCGAGATACATGTCAAAGACTGCCGTCTTGACCTCTTCCCCTGAAATAGGCCGAGAGAGCAAACTGTTATGTGCAGCCTCCAATCTTCTGGGAACCCAATGAGAAATAGAGTCACCTGCATACTGTACAGAAGAAAAAATATCAGAATAATAGGTGTCGATTAAATGGCCCATTTCTTCTCTGTCCGATTCCCACCCTCCATTCTCTGTGTGAAGACCTTCCATTCTATTCTTCCTCCGCCTTTGTTTCACCGAGTTCTATTCTTCACAGATAACCAGGAGAACCATGAAACAACTCATTGTTCTCTGTGAAGAATCTCATTGGCAGCTTGAAAATTTGAACCCAGAAGGTTTCATGGTTGAGAGGAATTGAAGTCGAGTCATCATCCCCTTCCAATTTCCGTAAAACCAACAAACTGTTTTCAAAGGACCAGGGACCGTCAGCCAGGATGCGTTTGACTTCCCCTTCATCAAAGAACTGAAATAGGAATCTCCTGTCTTCGATCTCCCGAATATTTACACCATTTGCTGGTCTCCAAACGTCCGCCATAGTGTTCCGGAAAAAGGCAAACTTGATCGTTTTTCCGTTCAACAGTCGTCCCACCATACGGAAATTTGTGAATTCTGGAAGCGTTTGGACGGCCGAATCATCCAACTCCACTTCGCCTTCGTCCTCATCTTCCAAATTCAGACGACCATACCTTTCCCCAATGTCGTCCGCCATGCAGTTGTTAACGAGAGAGAAACTACGTGAAAATTAAGGCCAAAGAAAACGAATCAGTCATATGACGGCGCTAACCCTAGAACGCTAGGGAAGAAGACATGAAATAAAAGTTTTTGAAATCACATATTCCACATATATATGGTATTTCATTTATTCTTGATCCTCGTTTCTGACTTAATGCTTTGCAACAATGTTTAGAGTACCATTATGCTTCTTTTTTGGGTCCATTTCCTATGTACGAAGATAAGATCATAGATCCTAAACAAGAATACAACGAGATTAGTAATTTATTTTATCAATTATTTAATGAGTTTCATGCACAATATGGTAACACACCCCTCCCTAGCTAGACACGCACATCTTCTTCATCTAAAGGAAAATCATTTTTGAAATCTACATTTGGCAATCTTATGAAAAACAGTAAATCAACTTCGGTTGTTGAACAAAGCTCGATTAACGAGTTTTCAATGTATTTAACGTTTTCTGTTGACTATGAAGAAGGGGATGATTTTGACGTTCTAAAGTGGTGGAAGGAAAAAGAAAGAACGTTCCCGGTTTTATCAAAAATGTCTAAGCAAGTGCTAGCAATGTCGGTATCAACACTTACCGTGGAACAAGAATTTAGTGTGGTCGGCAACATTCTAACAGATTATAGAACGAGATTGAATGCAAAATCTCTTGAGAAGCTCACTTGTTTACTTCCACGATTGGTTGAAGGCCCAACGTAGAACTCAAGAACTTAACATTGCCCCCACCCGTCACTTTATGGAGGAAACAACAACCGACGATAGCGGAGATTCCGACTGATTATTATTTACTAGAAAATGTATTTCATGTTTTAAAACTTTCTCAATTCTCAATTGTAGTTCATATTTCAAATAAATATACTTTAACTTTTTCATATCTAGCACTTCGTGAATAAATTTTTAAACAAGATTTTAAAAAAAAATGGTCTGACCCGGCCCTACCCGACCCGAGATCCGGGCGGGTAGACTAGTCCGGTCCCGATAGAATCCCGGACCAGTACCAGGCCTTAAGCCCAAATATTTAAGCCCGCCCGGGCCCGTCTCGAGGCTCGTCCCGGCCCGGGCCTGATTCGAAATGCAGAGCTAATCATACAGACAAATTGAATGGATGGGCCGGTCCACAACTAAAAGTAAAATACATATGCTTGTTTTGGCACTTTTGGACTAGTGATGGCAACGGGGCGGATCGGGGACGGGTACACATAAAACCGAAACCGCCCCGTTGGATAAATGTTTGCCCCAAAACCGCCCCATTACCCGTTCGGGTAATTTTTATTTGAACCGTACCCGCCCCAACGGGGAATCGGTTTATCCACGGGTAACCGTTTCCCCAAATGATACCAAATAACCATTTTTTTGGAATACAAATAATCAATTTTTTATCCTACTTGTTATTTATATATTCAAAGCACCCTAAAACATACAAGGAAACATTTAAGCAATCAAGCAGACTGACCTAAACTCATTAGTATGACATGCACCTAATATCTCTTGTAACATAATAAAAAAGTAGTAATCGTCCCAGAATCCAAATTCCAAAAACAGGTTTAGGCCTATATTTAGTTTTAGGCCAAAAAAGTAGTATACTTTTTAGCATTATTTATATGATATATACTATTTAGTATACACAATTTAGCACATATACTTATTATTCTTATATATAAAAAGTTATAATTCATTAATAATGTTACGGATCGGGTAATGGTGCGGGTACCCGCACCATTAGTGAATGAGGCGGTTTCGGGGCGGATAACAGGACGGATTAGTATAGAACCATAACCGCACCATTAACCATTTAAAAAATTCGGGTATTCCCCGCCCCGTACTCATTCCCCAGTCAAACTGGTTTTCCCCAGTTTGACCTAGTCGGCCAAAATTGAGATCTCTATTTTGGACTGCCTAGTGCCTAGCCCCATTTTATGCTCAAAATAGCTAATCTGAATATGACCGAATCGTCTCTCAACGTCGGGAACTGTGTAGAAGTGTAGAACTATGACGAACAGAGAATGGAAGATTGCACAAAAGTTCTCTGGAACCTCCCTGAAAGTGCAGGCATCATCACAGTCTCTCGCGTATATAAGCGCCAGCCATGCCTTCGATCAAGCATCGGAAGAAATCTGTTCAAATTACCCATCACATACTCTCAACGAGGTTAACTAATTAGCTGTTTGGTTGACATCAATACAATGTCTCTGATTCCAAGCATCTTCGGAGGTCGCCGGAGCAACGTCTTCGATCCATTCTCCCTCGATGTCTGGGATCCGTTCGAAGGATTCCCGTTCTCTAACACCGTCGCCAATGCCGGAGGATCGGCAAGCGAGACATCGGCGTTCGTGAATACGCGCACCGACTGGAAGGAGACGCCGGAGGCTCACGTGTTCAAGGCGGATCTCCCGGGGCTGAAGAAGGAAGAAGTCAAAGTGGAGGTCGAGGAAGGGAGAGTGCTACAGATAAGCGGGGAGAGGAGCAGGGAGAAGGAGGAGAAGAAGGACAAGTGGCACCGTGTGGAGCGGAGCAGCGGCAAGTTCCTACGGAGATTTCGGCTGCCGGAGAATGCTAAGGTGGAACAAGTGAAGGCGTCCATGGAGAATGGCGTCCTCACTGTGACGGTTCCTAAGGAGGAAGTGAAGAAACCTGAGATCAAATCCATTGAGATATCGGGTTAGACTGCTTTGATTTGAATCTGGGCATCCGTTTTGAGAATTTGGGAGATATAAATATGAGTTTTGATTGTGTTTAGTGAAATTTGAATTTTGAATGTAATGCAAAATTGTATCCCTGCAGTCCATCTTCATCAATAAATTGTGTGTTCTTCTATGCATTTCTTTCCCTCAAAACATTCAACCTTGTTTGCTGAGAAATTTAACTGATACAAAATAAAGCCATGAGCGGTTGTAGAACATGTGATGAACTGTCACACACTCACAGAGCCATGTTCGGTAAAGATCAAAACTATATAGAAGGCTAGGTTTGTTGAAACTGTTGCTGGGTGAGCTGAATCAGTTGATTGAAAACAAAACCATAAAGTTTGTGACAATTTCGGTACCCTTTTGAAAAATGGGATACCATACCTGCCATTTTGATTGAACCACGTCACTTTATCATTTTTATTTAGATTTAAATAATTCAACTTCAACATTAATCCAAGTGGACAAAGGTATGATATCTTATGGGTACCATAGAATCTACGAAAGTTTAAAATGGGCAGGGATGAAAGATTAAAAAGCAGTTTCTTGCTTTGAACCTTTCAGCATCAAACACAATATAGGCTGAAAATGCGCAATTGAATCTGATTCCTTTATGTAAATGGTAGAATTTTGTCGGAATACATTAATGTGCAAACTCATTTGTTCATAGTGGGGACTGGGGATCGTTTTAAAGGCTAGATTTTCAATGCATTTGTGTATTTTTTTAAACGTTAAGTGTATTTTTTACCATTATGGGGAAAAGAAATTGCTCTGAAGTCAGTACAATAATAGAATATGAACAAGATTAAAAAATAATATTGAATATGTTTTGTTCTCTATTAAGAAGAAAATAATTAAAGTTTCCCAAAATTGGAAGAAAACTATTTACATTACATTATGGGAGAAACTATTTATTCTAAAATTTACAAAGATTTTCTAATGCAGAATAAACATATTGGTGAAAAAGTGAGTTAAAGTTACGAATTGGTGGGTTAACATATTCGGTTAAAGTTTCTCTCTAGGGCTTCTTGCCGCTAGAGCTTCGGTCTCTTCGCTATCAGATTTCTGAGGAGCGGCCGCCGGTTTTTGATGGACTTCTGTTTGTTAGGGGCGCACGTTTGGGTGAGGCGAGGGTTGCGGCGGTCTTCTTCGGCGGCTGGAAGAACGATTACGAGGTGGCGAGGCTTGGTTGTCCCGCAGACGGAAGGCGATCTTGGAAAGCAGCGGGGGAATTTTTTTTTTATGTAAGATATAGTTAATCAATACAAACAAATGGCTATTGGTGTGGATAAGGAAGAGTTGGTTTTCGATGATGAGGAAGATGGAGAGCAGACGACGAACGAAGGGAAGGTGGCCTTCCCGGTGGTTGGTATGGTTCTTACGGATCGGAAGATCAAATTTCAGATTTTCAATGAGTTGATGGCATCTCTGTGGAGACCAGTCAAAGGTGTGTCCATTAAGGAAATTGGTGAAAAGAGGTACATCTTTACTTTTTACCATAATTTGAATATAAGGCGTGTTCTAGACGAGCGTCCGTGGTTGTTTGAAAGGAACTTGTTACTTCTAAAAGAAATCAAGACGAAGGATATTCCTCTACTCATCAGCCTTCATGAGACTGAGTTTAGGATCTGCTAGGCGAATTGGTAACTATATTGGAAATTTATTAGTTTTGATGAAAGCCAGTTTGATGAAAAATCGGAGGTTTATATGCCAATTAGGGTTTGTATGAATATTAAGAGACCCCTGGAAAAAGGGAGGAATTAGCCAATGGGTGGATTTCAAGTATGAAAAACTCCCAAATTTTTGTTTTATTTGCGGAATTATTGTTCGTTCTGATAAATTTTGTCCAGTAATGTATGAGGGGATAACATCACCTTTGATAAAAACTTATGGTGTTAATCTTAGAGTTGGAGGTGGGGTGAAGACTAGTTCAACAGGAGGTAACAAGTGGCTGGTTGAAGGGTCCTCCAGTACTGGTATGAGTGTACCGCAGAGGAGTGACAGTCAGGACACAGGGGGCAGGGCTGGAAAGAGGCTATTACAGGGACTCAGGAGAGCAGAAGCGCAGAAGAATCTGGGAGAAGGAACGGGAGGATTCAGCAGGAGAGGATATGGCACTTGACAAGCAAAAATACGGGGAGGAGGCAGGTCTCGACCAGTAGATCCGCCGGATTGCTTGAAATCCAGGATCGTTTGGTGGGCTTTGTGGCGGTGCACTTGAAGTTTTAGAAGAATTTATATTTTTCTGCTTTTATCGTTGATATTTTATATAATCAGTTTGTTTATTGTTTTATTGCTTTAATTTTTTACTGTAAGACTCTTGCATTAAGATTGTGGTAAGTCTGCTTCAATCGTCTGTGGCTCATGTTTGCCCTTTAATGGATCAGCGAATCATATTGCTTGTTTAAAGGTGATCAACTCTAAGTCTTGCTCGAGGGTTGACGGTTGTTAGTGGTTCCTATATCGATTTAAATCCTTTCTGAATGCTAATGTTGTGATATCAATGCAAATCCCTATTCCAAAAAAATACAAAATAAACACATTGTGTCATTTGGTCTTTCAAGGCATGAAAAATGATTTGCAACGGAAAATGCAGAATAAACATATTTTATTCGGCATAAAATAGAGTGCATAAAAATTATATGTGATCCTACTGTAGTTCTTAAAACAACATGTATAGTTCAGACAAAAGGATGGTATATCAAAGAAGATAGAACAAAACATGTATTCACAAAATCACTGCCCTTTAAGATAGCAGGACGGTGGTCATGGAAGTCGAAATCCGCTAAGGAGTGTGTAACAACTCACCTGCCGAATCAACTAGCCCCGAAAATGGATGGCGCTTAAGTGCGCGACCTATACCCGGCCGTCACGGCAAGAGCCAAGCCCTGATGAGTAGGAGGGCGCGGCGGTCGCTGTATTATATGCAATGCGCTCTTATTTCCTTCTTTCATATTTTATTCTATTGGATTTTCTTGAAAAGGTTTTTTACGAGTCAGTACGTTATAATACTATGACATCAATGTTGTACCTTTATCCCATTAACACTGATTTCCATCCGATTGTGAAAACCATTGTAAGGTTTTTAACGAGATAACCAATACCTCTGAATAATTAGAAGAATACTATGACATCAATGCTCTACTTTTATCCCATTAACTATGATTTCCATCCCATTGTAAAAACCATAGTTAGGTTTTTAATGAGATAACCATAACTTTTAAATAATTAGAAGATGACCATTCAAGAGGGGTTTTAAAAGATAATTGCATTCATCATCTTCAAACTATTTATGATTAGGTATTATCACCATTGTATAAATAATTAGGAAATCATTATCATGATTTCAAGATGATAATTGTGTGACTCATAATCTCTTTGAACTAACATTTTCTTCTATAAATCAGAGTATTCTCTATTCTAATTAAGACACTATTAAGAACACTGATTATAGGGAGGGTTTAAGGAGTTGTTGGGGCACATGGAATGGGCGGTCTGCCATTGATGACCGCTGCTGCAAAGGTGGTGGTTGGTCGTGTAGTTGGGACGACCAGGCTAGTTGGGGGTGTTTCTGCCGTTGGGAGAGTGAACAGAGCATGGTATTTTCGTGATGTGAATTTTTTATTAGCTAAATCAGGTTCTAACCCCTCATTCATTTGGAAGAGTATTATCCACACTCAAGATATCATACAGAGAAGTTACTACTGGCGTGTTGGTCGATGGAGAAATATAAACATCTGGAGCGACCCTTGGCTCCCAGATAGGAATAACCCAAATGTGGTTTAGGATCTTGTTCAGGGCTTGGAAAATGCAACGATGAAGAGTCTGCGGACTGTTGATGGGCCCAAATGGGATTCGGACCTCCTCCGGGATTTGTTTGTTCAGCGGGATTTTCAGCTTATCCAAGGGCTACCGCTAAGTTTCAGGGACATTCCGGATAAGGTTTGTTGGAGGTGGGAAGAGTCCGAGCGGTTTTCTGTTCGCAGCTGCTATAGGGCTCTAGTCGGAGAGTTGCAGACGGACAATTGGATGGGCTGGACGGCGATGTGGGGATGGAACCTTCCTCCCAAAATCAAAAGCTTTTTCTGGCAGCTCTGGTGTGGTTTCTTGCCTACAACGGTAAATTTGAGGCGGAAGAGAGTAAATTGTGCAGAGAGATGCGAGCTTTAATGAGGTGACGATGAGTCCTTGTCTCATCTATTTGTCTCATGCTCTGTAGCTCAAGAGGCATGGCGCGCGGTGGGGTGGAGATGGTCTAGGAGCTCGGCGTCGGATTTTATGTCTCAATTGCAGGATGATTTTGAAGCCAAGAGGAAGGAGGAGCTGTGTAAACTTATATGGGGTTGCTGGGGGCTTTGGTGCGAACGAAATAGCAGACTCGGTCTGGAGTGGGGTTTCCTTGGATGCAAAGGTTGTGATTTTGAAGTCTAAAGTTTATGTGGATGGGTGGATCCAGGCACAACAGCGGGTTAGGATGTTGCCTTCTCTTTCACCGGAGGCGGTCACGACCTGGAAACGTCCTTTGCCAGGAAGGTTGAAGCTGAACGTGGACACAACTATGAAGGTTGATGGCAGCAGGCTGGGATGGCTCCTACGCAATGAAGATGGAGTTTTTGTGGCAGAGGTTTCTAAACCTTGGAAAGGTTGTCTGTCTCCTTGGGAAGCAGAATTGGTTGGTATTCGAGCGGGAAGCTGTGAGTTGGGTAAAGGCTAATGGTTGGGATTTTGTAGAGGTTGAATCGGATGCTTCAAAGGCAATTTTGGAAATTCTTTATGGCTCTAGTGATTCACCCGGCGGGATTTTGGCCGATAATATTTGAGAGCTCGGGCCTGGTTTTACGGAGATTTCTTTCTTTCATGTTAGGCGATCAACGAACAAAGTGGCTCATGTTTTGGCTCAAGCAGCTTGCTCAATGTCTGATTCTATTTGTTGGGTTTCTTTTCCTCCTAATGTTATATTCCATGTACTAAACATTGATGCCATTAATAATAGTTAAGTTTTCTTTGTGCAAAACAAAAAAAAAATATTTCATGTAATCACAAAAATGATTAACGTAAGGGGAATCGGAAAATTTACAAAAAGCACCGGCAAGATTAAGAGCTTCAACAAAAAATTGGTTTATGGTAGGTTTATAAACATGACTAAAAGTTAGAGTTGCATTATTAAAATATACAAAAACTTTCACAATTTTTTGCA